TCCTGTTAACCGTAACCAATGAAGAAAAACCATCACTACTCGGCTCAGATCCAGAAATCCAATACTTGTCTGACTTCCTGACATACAAAATCATTATAAACCACTGCCAATACGACTCCACTTCGCAATCCAATTTAAGCATAAACCTTTCCGACCCTGGACTATCTTGTTGTTTCCATTGGGAAACAGAATCCCTGACCATGCATTGCTACTAAAAAACCTTTCACTTGATAGCAAAGCAAATCCTAACACGAATCTCAATTATGGGTACCATCTCAGACTCACCTTGTCATATCATAACTATAATTATGATGTAACCAAGACCTCCCTAGCCTCGTACATACTTACCAATTAACCAATATATCGGATTTCCAATCAGTTGTTGAGGCTGATAGCCTAACGCACAATCGCACCATGCAACTCTGAACGAGGGTCTATCTGGAAAAATTTTTCCTAGCCTGCTTTCCATAATGGCTCCAATAGCCCTCCTGATCCAACCAGGGATAACATAACCAACCATTATACAAGGCATCATAATCTTCTTACTCTAAATGAATGTTTTTCATCTAGCTGTAGTCTTACATCACAACCGGCCCCAAACGAACCTCAAGTATCCTTAATCCCACGAATATTGTGGTCCTCCCAATGTCTCACAACCCATCAAGACACGGCTTAACTCTACCTAGAGAAAACTAAGAGCTAAATCGTAGATTCGCAACACCCTCACAGATGCTCATTGAGCGGGTGAATGCTACGGGCCACCCCACAGTCTTACAACACTACCACACTACCTGCCAACCTAGTGAATGCTACAGCCACCGCCACATCTTACAACACTTCTGTTACTCTATACCAATCTAGTGAATGCTACGGCCAGCCCCACAGTCTTACAACACTTTTATACTGCCATGGTCCCAACCTATGGTCTTACCGCTGATCTACCATACCAACAAAATCATCATGAGTTGAACCAGCATCCAATTATACCCCAACCAGGTGTTTGGGTTATGCTTCGAAACCCAAAGCCTTAATTAGACAAGAACAGGCAGAGAGGTTCTAATGCAACCCTTAACATGTTCCAAATCACATATACACCATGCGTCACTACTGAAGCACAATTTAACCTGGATATCCATTCTTCTGCATCCCTTAGTCCAAATGATTATCCCCCACTTGAATTCGACTATGCTCTCCGAATCCACAAAAACTAACAGATTTTCAATCCATCTCACAGCCTAACAATTCAAACTATCAACAAACTGAGCTTACAAGATCTAACATTCCATTACTAGCCAATCTTAGTGATCACACACATTCCAAAACCATATGAATACCTCTCGAATACTCAACGAGCTCAATAATCCCAATTACTTCCCATTGGCTCCACAACAAGTCCTCGACGACTTATCGGACGACAAAGAACAACATCTCAAATATCAAAATGGGTACCCAACCGATTCCACGACCTACTAGCACTTAGAGCAATTCCCATGCGAACATGCAACTGACCACAATACGAAGGTATGAACTTGAAAACTACCAACCTTACACCAACGATCAAACCAATTCCTCATTGCCTCAAAACAAGGAAGAACACCTACTTATCCTCCTTCAAACCCGACATGCCCGCCTTGCGGATTCCTTGAATTCTTGTTGACACCACCAAAGATTAAATCGATTGGTGGTCTTTTCTCACCTTAAGCTTGTTTCGATGATGGACAATGTCTCCCACATCAAAATCCAAAACTGGCTCACCCAAACATCCTCTAAGCATGACTCTCGGTATGCAAAATGGCATATGAAGACTCTCAAAATAAAATATCTAGAACATCATGAAGAAAACTCTAATTTCTAGGTGAAGAATTAGATAAAACACCCACAATGTCTCACACACAACATACAATCACAAATGCAAATAATAAGAGCATGAAGAAAAGAATACGATACATACCAACGACGTCAATTGATGGAACTCGGATCCCCTCGGCCAGTGACTGCAATGCTTGGCTCCTCACTACATGACCCTCCACTCTGCTCTCACGAGCAGAAGTAATCCTCAGAGTGGCTGGAGCAGGTACCCTTACTGCACCTCTCATCAACTACGGACAATCGACCTTCTTTTGCCCACTTGGTTGCAGTGCAAACATAACGAACACATCCCCTAGGGACAATCTCTTATGACATGACCAACCCTGTCACACTTGCAGCAACCCCTACCTCTAGATCAGCAAACCCCATCATGAAACATATCATACGTGTTGCACTACCCTCGGCCCTACTGTCCCCTCACTTGTTGATCAGAAGTATTGGGTCCCTATGGAGGACCCTCAGTTGTCTGCACCTGCTCTGGCTTCTTCTTCCCTAGGTGCTCCAAATCTATCTCCCGCTCTCAGGCTCTGGCAATCACATCCTCCGAAGCCCAAAAAATTGAAAAACTCATAAACTCCCTGATATCATCTCGCAACAAATCATTGTACCATGACTTCTCTATCTTCTCATCTGTTGCATACTGAGGAACCAAAAGATCCCTCCCCTTAACTTGGCGGTGATCTCCTCCACAGTATTAGTCGTCCGAAGAAGGTCCTGAAACTCCCTCGCCAACTGTTGCACCTTAATAGCTGGTGCAAACTCCGCCCTAAACTGGGTCACAAACTCATACCAAGTCATCATCTCAATATCTTTGCATCCCAATGCGAAATCTACCTCCTTCTCTCAATCTTGAGCTCGATCTTTCAAAAGATAGGAATCAAATCTGACCTTTGACCCCTTGGGGCAGAAGATCGTCCGAAAATCATTCACTACGCATGCTAACCATCTCCTACTAGCAATGGGGTCCTTCTCCCCAAAGAACTTTGGAGCTCCACAAGCATGGAACTCACGGAAGGAAAGATTGCGAGCTCCTACAATAGTTACAGTCTCAATGTTGAGCACGCCCAGGCGCTCATCCAAAATCTCCATAATCCTCTCCTTGACCGATCCGAAGATCACAAGCGTCTTCTCTAAATACCATGGGTGATCTCCGACGAAATGAATTCCTACATCTGTTCATCAATCAGCTTAGTACCTGCACCCGAGCCTGAACCAGAACCTAAACCTCCTCCATGCATGCTCATCACCATTCTGAAAGGAAATTATACAATGATTAAAACATACCTAAGAATCCTCAATCCATAGGCTTCCTAGATTCTCTGTGACTCTCCTAGACTCGAGTATGGATCATGTACTTATAGTAGTATGGTCCCAATACTAACTTTCATACCTATCCATACTTTCCTCATGAATCCTCCCAAATCCTCTAAGTCACCTTCTCAAACTGGTACTCCAAGTACTCGCTAAACAGCACAGTTAACCCACTAAAACACTTCCTAGGTTCCCGACCTCACCCTACCATTAGCTGCTGAAGAACTTGCAATAATTTCAGTCAACTACTTCATGAATACAATCACATGCAACAAAGCTTAGATAATCCTTCGAGTAAAATTCTCAACCCTACACCAGTTAGATTCAGACGAGAGTTACGCAACAAGGCCAAATCAATCACTCTAGGATTATTTAACCTATGAAACATATGACTTAACATATTCACTTAGTAGTTAACTCACATCACTAAGGGTCCTACAAAGCACAAAGCAAATTATACACAATACATGATCAAATAGGTTGTCAAATGAAAGACTCTACCCTAGGACCACAACCAGACAAGGAACAAAAAATAAGACCAAATCAATCATTTTAGGGCTATATGATCCAACCATATACAATTTTTAAAGCATACACTTAGCAATTACTTCTACCAATACATATTCCAATTCTAGCATAACATCTGACCCTCCTAGGCAATGAGGCATCATATATCAAGCTAATCCATCCAATCATCTAAAATCCATACTAGCATGCAATTCCAAAAGCTCAAACAATCATGCATATAAAGGCATCTCTCCTATCATGAGATCCTGAGCAAATCCTTAGCCCTAATCTAGCATGCAAACATTCATATCATATAACATAACAAACATGTATGGATATTCCGGGAATCACTTACTTGAGCTCAATTAAATGCATGCATCACACCAGATTACCTATTCTCATTAACTTCTTTAATCATCAATAGAGACCTATCTTAAATACCATCGTTGGTAATTATCGTGATTGTCATCGGTTGTGATATGTCTATAGATTAGATCTGTCTCTTTGAGGGATGGATATAAAGGGCCTGAGAATCAAAGCAAAGGAAACAAGATCGATAGTTGTCATCCGGGAGGCAATCCCAGAATGAAGCTCCGACGACCAAGTCAGTTCGTTTTTTTAGAGAAGGTGAAAAGGGTTAAGTAAGTGCATAAGGGTTTTTTCTCTCGATCCCTTCTCTTGGAGGAGAAGGGAAATTTTTATACTTGTGGTCCGGGGGACACATCTCCGACAGTATCTTTTACCTTTTTTAGGTTTAGTAGAGATAGATGACCTTTGATTGGTAGATCGTACTCCGCGAGTGATCGTTTGCCATTGGTGCAGGTTTTCCAGGAGCAACATTATGAGCGCTACACCTATCACTCTAAGAGGCGGTTGGTACTATTTGTTCTTGACACTGGCTTTCGCGCTTGGCGCCAAGGAATGAATATGGGATCAAGAGAGTGAGGACCCGACGTTAGGCATACGCTGCTCTTTGCCTAAACAATCTATCAGACTAATGGTTCCGCTATATTTGACATATTCCTGGTGGGATACGTTAACTAGCCCCCTAGGCTAGTAGACATCAGCGTTTGCTCAAGGTAGCTGAATAGTTCTAGCTTAGATTTGGGCATGCGTTTGGTGGGGACGATTCATGACATGTTTCTGATGTAATAGAGTCGTTTTAGCGAGATAGAATCGTTTCATCATTTCTATTTTTATATAGGGGCCCTTTATCTTTAGGAACGGTTACACGCTTCCTCTCTCCATAATCCTTTGTCTCATCCTTTTTTATCGCTTCTCCTTTCTCCCATATTTTCCCTCTTCGATTCTTGATGGCCTTTGTTAAATCTATAATCGCTCCTACACCCGAGGAGTTCGAATCTATTCAATTCTGGTTTGGGTTGATGCATAAGCATGAAGTTCAATTCCCATCGGAAGGGTCTATGATTTATCAACCGCCAACGGGGAAGGTCGGTATTCTGGTAGAGATCTTCGAGGCCGGATTTCATCTTCCTGTTTTTCACTTCATTGATAAGGTTATGTGAGAATATGGTTTCTCTGTTCACGACTTAACCCCAATGATGTGAAAAAGATAGTTGGGTTTGAGTTAGGGTTTCGAGCATTGGGTGTGCTTCACCATCTTCAAGCAATCCAGTCTTTCTTCAATTCATCTACCCACTCAGGTGTTCACACCTTTTCTCAGTGTTGTAACAGAAATTCCTTTATATTTAACCAGAAAGAGCCTCAGAAGAACTGGCATGATCGGTGGCTATGTGTTAATAGTGATTTGGTCAGGACTGGCTATCCTTGTGTGCCCAAGGCTTCAGATCGGTTTCACCAACTTTTGGAGGTCAGTTTGTCAGTGGCTCGCATGTTAATAGGGATTTGCGTATTGGCAGCAGTCGGAATGAGCGCTGATTGGCGGTCGCACGGAAAGATGCCTCAGTTTTTTGTGGACAATGATGGTAAGTGACACCTTCCTCCCCCCCCCCTTTTGCCTTTCTTTATTTGTATCAAGTTTCTTTTGCTAAAAAGAATGGGGGGCGTTGTTGCTGTTGCAAGTAGCGAGAGGCTTTTGTCTCTTGAACAAGTGCTACGGCGGGATTTTAAAGGGGATCTCCAGTATCATGAAGTCCATCAAGTGGAGACGCTATCACCTCCAGCCAAAGTTGGCCCTGTTTTTAAGGGTGATGTCCCTCCTGTCGAGGTGGGGGTCAGGGCTACTTCTCCAGTCAGGGGATCAATTGTGGTTAGCGACCAAGTTGTCTCCCGACATCGATCTGTTGCTGCAGATTCCGCTCTTGAGGAAGATATCGACGGCAATACTATTAGTCGGCGTTTGCGTCGGAAACACAACGTCGATCCCCTGCTCGCTAAGTCACCCATTGTTATTGAGATTGTTGATGGTGATGAAACGCAAGCAATGGAGACGACGGGTTTACGTTGGCTGGGAGAACCGGGCGTTGAGGGCACTCTCTCCATCCCACCCTTGGTTTCAGGTGATGCCCCGTCGGTGGCGGGTACTTTGTCTTTGGGTGCCTTTGGTGTGTAACTGCGTATCTCCCGGGGTGGAACCTTACATTAGGTTCCCTTGTATTGGAACTTGGTCCCGCCCGTGAGTGGTGCCGACATGCGTTTCCTCCGGCTACCCTAGAGGCCCTCGATGATATTTCTTATTCTCACATGGCGAACGATCTTCAATATGCCGCTACTCAGTTTTCTCCTTACTTGGTGGCGGCTGCTGGTCATCTTCGTTACATAGGGGCCAATTTAACGGAGTTCGCTGTCGTTAAATCAGAGCATGATGAGCTTATGCAAAAGGTTTAGTTTCTCGAAGAGGAGCAATGCAAGTTAGATGAATGCTATCTCATGTTGTCTAGGGAGAAAACTGATGTAAAAGCTCACGTGGCGAATCTAGATGGGGAGGTTAGTCTCCTATCCCAGCAGGTCCAAAATTTGGTCTCGGAGAAAGAAGCATTATCGAAGCATTTGGCATTGCAGGATGATCATTTCGCCGCTGAGTTCTCGAGAAAGAAAGCCTTGGAGGCCAATTTAGCTTGGGTTCCTCAGAAGGGGGATGGTTCGTGTTGTGGACCGTGTTGTCGAGAACAGTGAGTTCGCGCTTGGGATTCGCCTTGTGAAGGCCGCGTGTGTGGCTGCTGGTATAGAGAGGGGGAAAAAGATGGTACGAGTGTGGTCGGCTAGCAGCATTCCTGGATCGTCTGATCCAGTTGTTGTAGCACGGTCTGTCGATCCAATGCATGCTGTCGTCAAGGCTTTTTCCGAGATGGACTCCGCGTCCTATCTCCGTTTGGGCGAGCTCGACCTTGCTGATCTTCACCAACTATGCTTTGAGGAGGAGGAGGAACTCGTTTCAGATGGTGGTGTTGAGGGCGTTTCCCCAAATCAACCTCGCTAGGGTTGATTTTTGTTGCATGTTTTTGTATGCATTTTGTTTGCTTTTCATTTTTATTGTATGTACTTTCTGGAACATTATTGTACTCAACTTTGCGGGGTCTTCATCGTTGGTGGTTGCCCGTTTTTGCGAACTTTTCTTTTTGTTTGGGGATGTGTCTCCCCAAAGAGTATTTTGTAGGCCTTTCTTTTGGTCCTTAGTTGGGTGACCAATTGCCTCTCTTTTATGGTCGCTTAAGGTGAGTTGATATCACCACCTCGAGGCTCTCTGGGCTCATGTGTGTTAAGTTGTCATGGAAAGGTCATGATCCTTTGAACCCTTTGATTATGTATGGTTCGAGAGCCTGGAGGCTTTGTTGCTTATCTGAACCGACATGTTCACAGAGGGGTCATCTCCTACTGAGATTTGTGGGTGCATGTTGGCGATTTGTTTTACTCAAATGATGTGGGTGATCAACCTGTGTTGTCATTTGGCGAATTCGCATGCCCTTTTTCTCTGTTTTTGTTCCTTATGTTTGTATTTATGTTTATATACGTATGTGTGTACGTCGATGAGTAAGGTTAGTCTGCTGTCTTGCGAAACTTTGTTAATCAGAAAGTTTTGGAGAAAACTTAAAGATTTTCATGTCAACATTTGATCGAGGTGTAGTTTTTAGGTTGGAGGTCCGAGCGTCACTACCCCCTCCCTCGGTCAAATGTTACCAGTTGTTTTACAAAGAAAAGTGGTGCAGGTTGCGCGCATTCCATCTTCGAGGTATCGGTCTCCCGTCATGTGCTTCCAGTGTGTATGCTCTATCCCAGTGCGTCCCCACAACTTTGTATGGCCCTTCCCAAGTTACACTTAGGTTTCCCAGTGGCTCTAAGTGGCTAGCCTTGTTCTTCCTCGGCACTCATTCTCTTATTTTGAAGTTCTTTACTCGTACCCGTTTGTTGTAAAAGTTTTCTGTACGGGCTTTGTAGGCCGCTTGTTGTAGTCGAGCAGCTTGGTGTTTCTCTTCTAGCATGTCCAGGTCTTGTCATCACTCTGCCTTGTTTGAGCCTGCGTCAAAACTGGTTACCCGCAATGATTCACTCAGAATCTTGAGTGGGAGCACCACTTCCATGCCGTATGTTAGGCTGAAGGGCATCTCTTCCATCGCTGACCTCGTGGCAGTATGGTACGACCACAGTATTATTGGAAGTTCTACCGTCCACGCCCTTTTTGTTATCATCAGGCATTTCTTAAGCACATTCACGATGGTCCTGTTTGATAATTCGGTTTGGCCATTCGCCTGGGGGTGTGCGACTGAGGTAAAGCGACGATGGATCGGCTTCTCCTCACACCATTCTTTGAAGGTGTTTCCATCAAACTGGGTGTCATTGTTGCTTATTAGGACCTTGGGGTGCCGAACTGAGTTAGGATGTTCTTCCACATGAATCTGATTATCTGCCTGCCCATCACCGTGGCTAGGGGCTCCGCTTCAATCAATTTTGTGAAGTAGTCAACTGCTACAAGTTGGAACTTCAATCCCCTGGGGCTGTCGAGAATGGTCCTAATATATCGACGCCCCTTTGGTGGAAGGGCCATGGACTGCTGATGATGATCATGGTTGTCGCTGGCAGGTTCTAGAAGGGGGTGAATTTCTGGCATTCCGGGCAATTCTTTGTGACTCTTGTTGCGTCTTTGTACACGTTGGGCCAATATACTCCTAAATGCAATATTTTACCCATGAGTGCATGTGCCCCCTCGTGTGCTCCAACTTCGCCCGAGTGGCTTTCCTCTAGGAGGACTTGGCCTTCTTTGTGCGAGATGCATCTGAGCCATGGCACTAGGTACCCTCTCTGGTATAGTTGCATGCCTTTTACAGCGAACTGGGGGCTTTGATTTTTATCTGCTTATCCTCTTCCGGGTCGTCCAAAAGGATCTCATGATGCAGGTAATCTTGGTACAGCTTTCTCCAATCCGGCGATTCGGCGACGACATTGACTTGCTTGTTGTCGATGCTCCTTTCTCCGAGAACCTCTACCGATACCTTCTTAGTTAGGTGGTTAAAGGACGTCGAGGCCAACTTGCTAAGAGCATTGGCTCTTGTATTGTCCCTCTAGGTATTTTTTTTGATTTCGAAGCTATTGAACGAATGTGCTAACTACCATGTCTTTTCCAGGTATCTTTGCATCCTTCGATCTTTAGCTTCGTAAGTACCATTTATCTGGTTGGTTATCAATAGTAATCAATGAAAGCCCAGAGGTGTTTCGCTCCGACTTCTTGTGCCAATCGTAGGCCTGCGAGGAGTGCTTCGTACTCGGCCTCATTGTTCGAAACCTAAAAGTCAAATCGTAGGGTGTATGTTATTTCATCTCCCTTGGGGTTTTTGAGGATTAGGCTTACGCCTGAGCCTTCCTTACTTGCAGCACCAATGGTGTGTAGTTCCCATATGTCTTTACTTGCCTTGGGCTCTAGTGGGTCTACTGGTAAGACCTTTGGTATTCCTCTAAGTGTGTCGGGAATTTCTACTAAGAAGTCTGCTAAGGCTTGGGCCTTGATACTGGTCCGTAGGAAGTAATCTATGTCATGCTCCCCCAATTCTATTGCCCATTACATCAATCATCCTGACTTTTTAGGTCTCAGCAGGACCTGTTTTATTGGAAAGCTGGTCAGCACTTCAATTTCGTGTGCTTGAAATAGCGACGTAGGCATTTGACCATGTAAATTAGGGCCAGTACCAATTTTTCCAAGACTGGGTAGTTGATTTCAGGGTCTTGTAATGCCCTACTTACGAAATGTATTGGTGACTGCTTCTTGTTTCTCTCTATCGTTAGTACCGATGAGATGGCTTCATCAGCCATTACAAGGTATACGTGTAAGGTTTCTCCTAGGAGGGAGATTGTCATTGTTGGTAGATGACGAAGGGCCTCCTTTAAGCATTGGAGGATTGCATCGGCCTCTTTCTTCCATTTGAAGTGACTCTTGTCGACACACCCTTTCAGAGTGTGGAAGAGTAATAGGGTTTTTTCTACTGATTTGGCTATGAACCTGCCAAGTGCGGTCAGCCTCCCGTTGATTTCCTGGACCCCTTTTATGTTGTGTGGGGTCTTGGAATCGAGGATTTCCTGGATCTTGACTTGTTTTGGTTTGATTCCTTCTTTAGTTTAATCGGTATCCCAAGAATTATCCCACTTTTACCCTGAAAGTGAATTTTACCGGGTTGAGTTTCATTTGTGCTCGCGTCAGGGTCTGGATGGTCTCCTCGGCATCTTGGAGCAATGTTGCTTCGTTGCGACTTTTAATGACCATGTCTTCGACATATACTTCCACATTCTTTCCGATCTACTTTTCAAATACTTTATCCACCAGGCACTGGTATGTCGCACTGGCGTTTTTAAGGCCGTATGACATTTTCTGGTAGCAGAACGTGCCTCGTTCGGTGTGGAAGGCCGTCTTTTCCTCATCTTCCCGTCGCATATGGACTTGGTGATAGGATTTGTGGTGTCAAGAAAACATTTGAGTTGGAATCCTTCCAGGGATTTGACCTTCTGGTCTATTTCCAGGAGAGGGTAATGGTCTTTTGGGCATGCATTATTCTGGTAGGAGTAGTCAATGCACATTCGCCACGGGCCGTCGTGTAACATCCATAAAAATCATGCCAAATTTTAACTTTTTAAAACATTTCAAAAACCAATAATTATTACAAATATGTTTTCAAAATAGTATAATGTCAGAGTATCCCAGAATAAAATCATGAAAACATAAGGAGGTGTACGATCACACCTTCACCTTCCCGCGATCACCAGAAGTACTTGAAATAAAAGCAACAACTGTAAACCTGAAGCTTAATGAGTTCCCCCAAAATACCAATGACATACAATCATAATAATATCATATAAAAAGCAGCATGCATAATGAGCCATTAGCCTGACTGGACCGCCTAGAAGGCCTTCATTCTATTTGGACCGCTCTCCGAGCCTTCAGCACGTCTGGACCGCCTCTCATGGCCTTCAACCTATCCAGACCGCTTTTCAGGCCTTTGGTATGACTAGTATGCCCTCCTAGGTCTACAGTCTATCCGGTGCACCTTGGGTATGTTGGCCTAAGCACAAAGCATGTCCGCCTCAACCCAACCCCCAATCAAACAAACATGTGCACATAAATATCATACGCTAGCAATCATGTACATATAGTCATACAGATCTAACAGATCACTAACATGGCAACCATCCTATAACCAGGATACCGATCTAACCGATCACTAACATAGCAACCATCCTATAACCAGGATACCAATCTAATTGATCACTAACATAGCATAATACTATAACCAGGATACCAATCTAATAGATCACTAACATAGCAACCATCCTATAACCAGGATACAAATCACAAAGGATCGGCCTTAGTGCCTTAGACCCTGTTGATATAATGAGAAGAACTCACCTCACAAGTAGCTCGGAGTGATAAAGTCAAACTCCACTAATTGCAGCTCCAAGTCCAACACCTTCAAAATGATGCCAAGATGAAGTAGAGTCAGATCCACAAGCTTCTCTTTACTCCAATCTTCTTAGACTTCAAGTCTTCTTCACAAAATCCACCAAAACACTCTTTAGATCTCACAAACACTCAAGAATAAGGTCTAAGTTGATTAGGGTTTCTTCTGGCCGTCAAGATGTAGTAAGGGGCTGGAGGAAAGGACTTAAGGTCCTTTAAATAAGGTGAAAACCCTAAAAACTAGGGTTTCATTTTCTAGCTCCCACTCATCGAGTCGGGGTCCTCCGACTCGTCAAGTAGAATTAATAATTCACGCGAGCTGACTAATTCCTACACAACGAGTTGGGGCCTCCAACTCGTCGAGTAGGTTTCTTTAATTGTTTGAAATCCTCAAAATCTCATTCTCGGAAATCGGGATTTTACACATCGTTTTTCTTTACCATTACCGGGTTTGCTATCCATGTAAGGAACATGGCTTCCGAGAGGATGCTTGCATCCACAAGCTTTGAGACCTCATCATTGATTGCCTTGTTTCTATCACT